GGATGGATGGATGGATGGATGGATGGAGAAGGTGGGTGGATGGATGGATGGATGGGTGAATGGAGAAGGGCATGGACAGATGGACAGAGAGGACAACTGGCTGGATGGAGAAGGATGGAGGGATGGATGGATAGACAGAGAAGGATGGATGGGTGGATTGATGGAGAAAAACATGGATAGGTCAATGGAGAGGTGGATAAAGGGAGCAGACCTGGCTGGCTGGAGAAGGGCATGGACAGATGGATGGAGAAGATGACTGGCTGGATGAATGGAGAAGGACAGATGGAGAAAGATGGAGGGATGTAGGGAGAAGGACCTGGAAAGATCAATGGAGAGGTGGCTAAGTGGAGAAGACCAGGCTGGACAGATGGAGAAGGGCATGGATGGCTGGCTGGATGAATGGATGGAGAAGGATGGAGGGATGAAGGAATGGATGGCTGGAGAAGGTTGGAAGGATGGCCAGATGGAGGAGGACGGATGGATGGCTGGAGAAGGTTGGAAGGATGGCCAGATGGAGGAGGACGGATGGATGGATGGAGAAGGTTGGAAGGATGGCCAGATGGAGGAGGACGGATGGATGGCTGGAGAAGGTTGGAAGGATGGCCAGATGGAGGAGGACGGATGGATGGCTGGAGAAGGTTGGAAGGATGGCCAGATGGAGGAGGACGGATGGATGGCTGGAGAAGGTTGGAAGGATGGCCAGATGGAGGAGGACGGATGGATGGCTGGAGAAGGTTGGAAGGATGGCCAGATGGAGGAGGACGGATGGATGGCTGGAGAAGGTTGGAAGGATGGCCAGATGGAGGAGGACGGATGGATGGCTGGAGAAGGTTGGAAGGATGGCCAGATGGAGGAGGACGGATGGATGGCTGGAGAAGGTTGGAAGGATGGCCAGATGGAGGAGGACGGATGGATGGCTGGAGAAGGTTGGAAGGATGGCCAGATGGAGGAGGACGGATGGATGGCTGGAGAAGGTTGGAAGGATGGCCAGATGGAGGAGGACGGATGGATGGATGGAGAAGGTTGGAGTGAGGGATGGACAGACGGCTGGCTAGAAGGAACAAGCTGGAGGACCAGGCAGGGATGCCAACCAGGTTCCCCCACTCATCCCCACCCCACCCCACGCAGGTGGACGGCGCCACGGTGCCGCTGCCCTTCTGCCTGGAGGGCCGGGCCGTGTGTGTGACACCCCACGGTGCCACCACCCTCCTCCTCCTCGCTGACTTTGGCCTCCGCGTGGCCACCGGCCCCGGGGCCGCGGTGGCCGGCACCGTGTACTCTCGCTAC